AATCCACAATTGGTAGAGCACAGAGTCATATATATAACAGTAAGTCACGACATATTCGTCGTCGACATAATGCCGTGAGACAACTACTCTCTAATGGAATTATTTCCATTGAATATGTGAAGTCTAAAGACAACATGGCGGATCCACTAACCAAAGGGTTAGCAAGAGAGCTAGTTGAGAATTCATAGAGGGGAATTGGACTAAAGCCTATTAAATAAGAGTTACCATAACGGCAACCCAACCTAGTTGACTGGAGATCCCAAGATCTAGGTTCAAAGGGACAACCAAGTTGTGAATGACTCAGAAGGATCACTAGAGAGTCTAACTCCTACCCATTTCTATGATGAAATAGTGATGTCTGCAGCGTTTTACGTTAAGTAATACTTTTAATGATTCTTATATCTAGGTAAACCTAGTGGAGTATGGCAGGATACTCTTCATAAGAATCACCTATGTGAGTGTGAACTAGGCCGGTTCTATGAGATTTGTGAAGGGCTACAAATTCTCTAGAGCACTCATGAAAGACCAGGTTGTTCAGGGCCAAAATGAACACAATAGTAAAAACTAAACTATGTCTGGGAATATACTGTGTGAGTTCTATTATCTTGGTTTACACAAACGGCTGAACAGTTCAAGACATCATGTTCACTGGTTAGCTAGTAAATCCGATAGTGTCTCACAAGGAAAAGTTCAAAGCCAAAAGCTACCTATCCTTTGCAGAATATTTTCAATTTATGTACTCTCTGTAATAGATCATGTTGTTGCATTTTCTCTCTGTCAAATTCTATTCATGTGGGGGATTGTTGGAAATTTTGGTTTATAAAGCTTATTTTACAACAATTTTGAGCCCAAAATTTAGTAGGCCTCAAACATTTTTTGGGATGGGTCCGAAAAGGTGAAGTGTTCCTTGCCGCGTGGCAAGTCACACGGTGAAGATGGTTCGTCAAAACCATTTATGAGTGAATGGGAGCATGACGTCGTTTTCGAGTTCGTAGAATGGACATTCAAAGTTGTTAATGTCGGTTTTCTTGTGAGGCTTATCCCACATTGAAACTTTAAAAGAGTTTTGTTAAGTATATAAGTTCTAGCCTACAACACTTGGGTTGGGCCCCAAGGGGCACCCCAAGTTTGTAGAAGAGAGGAGTTATGAACAAAGTGAACCTTAGCCCAAACCACCATACACGCGCACGCCGCCGCCGCCACCATCCGACCGAGTCGAGCCATGTCGGGCGCGGGTTGTGGGTCAGGTCGGTTCTAATATTAATTTTTTGGACAAAATTCATTTGAATTTTTTTAAAAATTATTACAGGAATTTAATTCAAATTTGAATTTAATTTTTTGTCCAAACAAACTTTTTCCTGTCTAAATATTCCACAACAGATTTTTCAGTTCAAACAGTTTTTCTAACTGTTTAAAATCGGACAGATTCTTAACTGTCCAGACAGATTCAAATCTGGACAGTTTTGTTCCAAATCTGTTTGAATTTTGAATGATATCTGTTCATTTCAAAAGTGCATATGTTCAAGTTAAATTCATACCTGTTCGGACAGCAGTGTTTGCCTATAAATACCTTTCAATTCCAGCAGTCTAGTAGATCCGAAAATTAGTATGAAAAATTCATTTTGCTATCCTTTTTGCTCATTTGCATTATATATTCTTCATTCTAGTTTTTAGAATAAAATAAAGAGAGTATAGAACACAAGGTTTTGTTCACCAGACAAATTTGTTTGAAGTGCTTCTACAAGTTTGTGAAGATCATTGTATCCTGGGAGATAGACGCCACTCAACCGTAAGCACCGTAACGGGGCAAATCTGTCTTAAGGACAAAGTGTCACACACTCGACTTGGTCTTTAATTATTTAATCGGTTCAACAAAATAAATTCTGTAAGTTTTATTTTATTTTGTTTGAATTAGTTTCAATTTTTTATTTACACAGAAGATTGTTCCTACATTATCTACAAAGATTAAGGTTGTAGTTCTTACCTAAAACTTGAATTTGAAGATTTTTAACTCAATCCTCCAATTCTCATCCTAATCTTCACAAATTGAACTCTTCTCCCTCTAAATTGAAGCTCTCTACCTCTCTAAGATCTCAGCCAAGGATGTGAGAAAATGAACTCAAATAAGCTTATAACACATATATATAGGGTAGATTATGTTAAGCTAATTAAGTAGGATTAAATCTAATTAAACAAGCTTAAATCTAATTAATCCTACTCAATTCTACTTAATTAATCTAATTAATTTAATCTGAATCAAATTTTAATTAAACTTCTCATATGTTTCTAAATATTCCAAGTAACCTATTGAACTTGACAATTTTGGTTTCTAAATTTGCTAATGCTTTCAATTTCTAATTCTAAGTAAATATTCTAACAAAATTCCATAAGCAAACATATATGCGCAAAATTTAAACACATAATTAGGCAAATTCTCTCAATAAAATAATATTCATGTCTGGATCGTCACACGGTTGTTATCAATTAGACTAAACTAAGACAAAAGCATAAATTCATGATCAAAATCGAGTTAATTAAAATTATAAGGATCAAAATAATATAAGGGCCAAAACATATAAACTATCAATGTAATTTATCACCGGATATATTAACCATGTGTTGCATATACCAACTGAGAAAGTTGCAAACTGATATTCCCCAGAATTGGAAATTTTGGAGAAGTTTCACATCCATATGGTTCATTTGGATACTATTTGACGATTTTCGCAGCTAATATATAGTTGTATCAGCTAGGCTAGTGTAGTTGACCATATACCTTTGTAAAATTTGGTTGGGTTGGTTGACTTATCAAGAAGGCTCATATGAATTTCAGATTGTATTATTATGGTCTGAAACTTCTGTATTTGTGCTTTTATTTCAGCTGTAAGAAAGATCTTTTATTGTTCCAGAAGTAATAACTACTGATAACTATGTAGTCCCAGAAATCTATGTAATATTGTTTACCTAGTACTCTCAACAAATGAAGAATCACCAAACACACCAAACGAATTATCTTTTATCTTTTTAACTAGTTAATAAAGATGGATCAACGTTGATGCACACATAAAGTTTTTTGTCACATTAATGGTTTGGTTTGAAGTATGTCTCGGGACAATCCAGACTTGCTGAATTGTTTTTAGATATGTGGCAAGACATCTCTAACAAAATTGTTAGATGCATTCAAACAGACCTGCCAATTTAACTAGCTGTGTCCCTTGTAATAAACTGACGTTTGGTGGATTAATTAATACAAAGGTAGAAACTTTTTACAAAATCCTTCTGAGATTTGTCTTCTGATTAAACCAACTTACACTCATCAACACTTCTTGACAATTTCGTACCGTATGTCCCCACGGGTCTTACTTGACGCAACGAAGCTACTCGTGCCCTCCCTACAGTGGTTTGGGGGTTGCTTCCAATTTTCGGCCCTCGAAGGCCTTTTTCGGCTAAGTTTACGGCGTTTTTCACACAAACTCCCGATGTACGCGTGCTAATTACGTCCCGCATGTCCCCACATGTCCTATTTGACAATTTATTTAAACATAGATTCACCTTGCTTGATTTTGATTATTTTTAAAAAATTAAGTTTTTTTTTTGTATTTTTTTTTTATTTTTAATCAATTTTTTTAACATCTTAAGTAATATTTTTTTTACTTTTTAGATGCACAAATGAACCTAAAAAAGAATAAAATATTTGTGAAAAATTATTTTAAAAATTCAATATATACACAGTAATACAAAAATGTACTAAATTTTTTAATTTTTTATATTGGATGAATTTTTTAAAATTTTTTTTTATAAATATTATACTTTCAAATATATCTAGGTTAAGTGCATCTAAAACATAAAAATAAAAATAAAAATTTAAACTAATAAAAAAATTTGACCAAAAGCAAAAAAATTCGAAAAACAAAAAAAAAATCAATTTTCTTAAAAATAAACTCAATTTTCTAAAACCAAACAAGATAAATAAGTCTAATACTTTAAAATTTTGCACTTAACATTCATTTTCACTAATTTCTTTATTGTCTTACATGTTTTTTGAAACTCTCATTACTTATAAATTTATTATATACCATATCACTTACGTCTCCCCGGTGGAATATTTAAAAGAGTAAAAGATACAAAGAGCTCATCCTCATGCTTCTTCTTCTGAGCTCTTCGGCCATCGGGTTTATCATAGAAAATGTTATTTTTACTACTTTTAAAAAGAAAAAAAATATTTATTTTGTATAATTGGATAAATGAATTGATGTGGCATCTTATGTATAGTTTTTTTTTTTTTTTTAAAAAAAAATTGGGAGAAAATATTAACTTCATTCAAAGAGAATAACAAACACAAATAAGAATTCTCATATTCAAATTACATAGGAAAAACCATTGCAAGCATAAAGACAAACAAGGAAGCTATAAATTACAACCAACTATATTCACAATTATCACCAAGCACTTGAAATGTTGTAGCTCCACTCCGCCATATATGTAGCTTCCCAATCTTCTTATCCTTCAGTCAAATTTCTATTAAAAAATTTAACATTCTAGCTCACACCACTGCCAAGTTATCATAATTCATGGATTGGGAGCTTCGGCTGACCGAGCTCATAATTCCGCCTTCACACCACTACCAAATCAACTCTCAATGCCTTTCTTAGTGTCGTGTATACCTTAGCACCCAATACCGATCAGGCTGCTCATTTGCACATACATATTATTTGACTTAGGAAAGGAAACCACTTCTATTACTCAAAGAATGATTACAAAGCTACTTGAGACTCCAAACTTGGTTAGAGGGAAAATGAGACACCTATCTTAGTAATAGGTCTCCATGTCTTCAAGGTCTAGATTAAATATTTGCAAATTCATCCAATGGCACATGTCACATGTCACGTGTTCACATCTTTCTACAGTGTAAGATAGCAACAACTTCAAAGGAAGTACAGGAAAACATATATTTATCTTTATATATATATATATACATGAAGATCACTCTCTGCAGGATTTCTAATGCAGTCTGAGTAGTGAACTGGAATTCAAAGCATAGGTTTTGGAACCAAAATCTAACAACTATCTCCATGGGCCAAATGTGGGTCAACCTACTCAATCACTTTCAACAAAATAAGTGCACATACCTCCAGAAGAAATGCCACCTGAAACCTTGATCAATGAATTCTCAAACAAGTTCAATTTGACAGGTATTTGAACATCTATGAGCCATGACAAGTTCTTAAGAAACTCATTCTCTTCTTCCATTCTTGAAATTACATTCCTAATTGTCATCTTTGTCAAGACCTTCGCATTTTTCAATAGATACTTTATCAAATTAAGTTCATCTTGGGACGCATCAATGCCAGAGATTTTAATTTCTTTAAGGGAAGACCTCAAACAACTTGGCACCCCTTGTGGTTCAAACCAATTGAATTGCTCTGAATATGCAAAACCATCATGAAGTGGTACCTAAAAACCAAAAAACAATAAGGTAAGAATTTGCAAATCACTGGCTTGGGATTATTCTTTTAACTCACCTTCGCAAATACCGTAGTGCACAGATTACGTGCACCATTGAGCAAGTCAAACAAACTCTTGCAGCAAAAATTGTGGCAAACACCCAATTCCAATTGGGTCAAATTAGGAAACGCAGGCCAATTTTTGTCATTAGCAAAGCCGAGAGCCTTCATCAGAGATGATAAAAGATAAAACTAGTCAAATATATAAAACCAAAATGAAGTTGGATAAAGTTCTAAAATGAGAGCATATGTATGATAATCTACATCTTATCTCGACTTCTTATAAGTAAATGATCAAAAGGAAGAGTAAACTTACTGCCATAGTGCTAGCCTTTAGATGTAGATGCTTAACATTAGAAAATGCTTTCAAAAGCCCAAATAATTGGTTAACCTGTGTAATGGCTGAAAAAGCATATGGATAGGGGGCTTCAACACAAACACTTGCTTTAACTAATGAGGATAGGCTCTTCAAACAATAAAGAACCAAGCAATTATCTTCAACATGAAGGCATTCAAGAATTGGTGCATCGACCATGACCACAGTCTCAGAGTTTCGATATTGCCTCGTAAGTAAAGATAAAGATATGTATAAAGTCTACAGAGCTGGTGAAGAAATTTCGTATATTGTTTTCCCAAAACCCACTAGTGCTGAATTGGATAATTCTTCGAGCACAGGGCAGGAAGAAAAGAGCTTCTGGGTCAGGTCATTACTTGGATAAATAAGTGAAACATGAAAGATCTTGAGACAAGGAAAAGAGATTGAGGCAGGAGCATCAAAATGAACTTGAGATCCTAGCTTTAAGACTACAAGCGTTTCGCAAATAAAGAGGCTGCTAACCTAAGAATTATTGATCCGCAAACATTGATATCAATTTCACGGACATCACGCTTTACAGCAGCACTTATCCATGCATTCAAACGAGATTTATCAATATCTGGATCACAACTTAGATAGAATCGTTGAATACTTGACAAATCATGTAAGAGAAGTACTCTTTCAATGAAATTCATGAAGCTAACATGGCGATGATGATCTTTAGGCTTATGCATGCCAGACCAAGGATGCTCAACTAACAGTGTCTTCTCATTGAATTCTAGATTGGGCACAGAAGTCCATATGCATTTCCATCTTGGTGACAGAGTGCTGGTCGCAACTGCATATTTTGTTGGAAGGAAAGAGAGAATGTGGGCGAGAACTGAATTTGGTAAGCTGCTGATCCTATCTTTTCCATTCCCTGTGTTTGCTATCTTCTTTAAACTTGGTTGATGGTTCAAGCTCGAAGCCATGAATCTGCAGTGCCTGAATAGATCAAGTGTATTAAAAATTCATTCTAAAGCATCTTCGATTCTTCACCAAACCCTTCATCAAATTTAAATTTGATGACAATTTTGGTGAACATGAGATCCAATAATCCAAATTTTAACCAAATTTACATCAACCCGTTTTCACTTTTAAGTTTGATTAAATTGTTAAAAGAAAAAACTGAAGTTTTTTTGTTTTGTTTTTTTTCTCTCATGTAAATTGGTTAAAGAAGGTTTTCAGAATAAGTTAGATATTTTTAAAAATATTTGACCCAAAAAAAAAATTTGATTATTTTGAACATTGAAGTGAGCTATATCAAAGCTTTTGGTCTAAATTTTAAAACAAATTTGATTTTTTTTTTCCATTTTTTGTTAGGAACAATTTGAATAGTAAAGGTTGGAATGCTCTCATAGGTGTGTCTATGTGTAGCAAAAAGATGCAATAGAAGTTTACAGAGAAAGCATTGTAAAATCCGTTGAGACCATCTCAAACCTTTTACCAAAATTTTCATGAGTTTGATTTGACATGAACTACTCCAATACTTTTATCAAATTTTCATAAAAATCATTTCAAACGTTCCCCTTTTTATACCAAATTTCACTCTCAAATACTTTATCTTTTTAAATTTTCATCAAATTCAAATATGATGAAGGATTTGATGAATTCTCAATTTGATGAAAAAAATGACTCTCCCTTGATTCGATGAACATTTGATAAAAGGATTGGATATGATTTTTGAGTAAATTTGCATCAAATTTAAATCAATGAAAGATTGGAGATGCTCCATAGTATAACCACAGGTTCTATTTGGATGTTGAGAAAACTCAAACAAGAAAATAAAATAGGATTGTTGTTATCTAGTATAAAAAAAGGGTAAATAAATAAAATTTACCCTAAGACTATTTCCAATCCTTCACTAATTTTTTCATCTAATTTGATTATAAATTCGAGTAAAAAAATTAATTTGATATGAACTACTACAATCCTTTCATCCAATTTTTATCAAAATCTTTTTTAAGAATTCCCCTCTTATCCAAGGTTGTTAAAATTTGGATACTGCGTTGAATCATTGGAAGGGACTCATGGATCAAATCGTAGAATTGGATCGAAAATTGTAAAATTCTACTATGTAAAATAAAATAAAAAATTATCAATAATGATAATATATATTGCATAATTTTCAAAAGATTAAAAAAAATGATAAATTTGATATAATGCATTTTTTATGTTAACATAAATTAGAAAAGATGCTTGAAAAAAGAGTTTATAGCTATTTATTTATTTATTTATTTTTTATAGATATACATACACTACTATGTAAAATAAAATAAAAAATTATCAATAATGATAATATATATTGCATAATTTTCAAAAGATTAAAAAAAATGATAAATTTGATATAATGCATTTTTTATGTTAACATAAATTAGAAAAGATGCTTGAAAAAAGAGTTTATAGCTATTTATTTTTTTATTTTTTTTTATAGATATACATACATACATATACATAAGAAATAAATAATAACAAAAAATATGTATAGGATTGGGATGGTAGTGAAATCGGGATCGTATTCTATACAATTTTATGAATAGGCTTGTAATCATTTTAAGATACTTGTATGTGATCCAAACCATTTGGCCCATCTAAAATTGTAGAATCATAAAATTTTACAATCCGAATCGAGATTTTGATAGCCATACTCTTATCCCAAATTTTCCTTTTCATCAAATTTGATGGGAAAAAATCATCTAAATTTTCATCAAATTTAAATTTAATAAAAAGATGAGTTCCCAATTCGATAAAAAAAAATAAAAAAAAATATTTAAAAAAGACTCTTAATTTGATGAACATCTGATGAAAGAATTAGAGATTATTTTTTAGTATATTTTCATCAAATTTAAATTTGATGCAAGAACAAGATCAAGGATTGGAGATGCAACTTTCGGATTTCGAGTTTTTCTTTTGATTTCAATATGGTTTCTCACAAACCAAGACTGTTTCACTCAATTTCATCTCTCATGTGAGAAAAGAAAGTACGCAAAAATGATCATAAATTTTTTTTATCTGAGTGACTGTTTTTCAAATTACTTCCAATTTTCTATTCAATTCAACAAGATTCAAACAAAGTGGAAAATTAAAGAGAAAATTTGGGGGAAGAAGAAGTACCGCTTCTTCATTGTTCAGCTGCTGCGATAGAAAATGATGAAACTTTAGGGTTTAAGGTTATAGCCTTCTATATTCACCCAAAAAAAAAGGTTATAGCCTTCTCACTTCTCCCCACATTATATATATAGCTCAATTTAAATTTCACTTTTTTTTGTCCGTATTATTTGAAATTTTATAATTTAAGTCTAATTTTAATTTAATTTTTCTATTCAAGTAGGAAGTTAAAATTAATGATTTTATAATAATTGTTAGTCACAATACACTGAAAGAAAATTAACGGATATTTGGACAGACGGATCAAATAAAACTGAATTTAAAGTGTAAAAATTAAATTATTCAATTTAAAAAAATAAAATTCAAATCAAATTACATAAAAAGTGTAACTAACCCTAATAAATAACCACTGTTAAATTACATTAAGAGTTCCTTGAAGTTTAAAAATTCCATTTTTTTTTTCTTTTATTAAACCTAAACGGATTGGATTTAATATAAATAGTGTGAAAATATAAGAATAAATAAAAAAATTATATAAATTTTAATGTGAAAAGATGACAACATAATTTTTTTATTTATATAATTAATAAATTATTATTAAAAAAATAACTTAAAAGAATTTAATATAATTATGTCAAAATTATAAATAAATAAATAAATCAATTTTATGAGAGATGAACCTAAACAAAACAAAACAAAAGAATCTCATATCACATAATCTCATGAGAACTAATAATAAAATCATTAAATAAAGACAAATCTCTAATCCCCGAAGGTTTAGCTTGGTAGATGTAACTTAGGACTTACGGATATATTTCTTCCAACTCTTAGATATTTGCCCAATCTACGTAGGTGAACTCCAAAATTAATCAAGATATGTAAATTGACCTAAAAATCCGATCATTATAAAAATAAAAAAAAAATTAATAATAGATAAAGACAGATCTCACCGAACAAGTCATTGATGTTGCCAATACACGTTGATTTAACACACTTTAAAGATACGCACAGAATCGTCATCAATTTAAATTTTTATCCTCTGAACTATGAGTAATGTTAGAAATTTTAAAAATTCTACTAAAAATTCTATAGTATTAGACCCACACAATATGAATTCCATGTGCATTCCACACGCATGTAAGACATTTGATAAAACTTTTAATAGAACTTTTGAAATGTCTAATATTTTTGCTAAGCTATTATCAATTTTTTTTTTATTTTATTCCTAAATTATCAATTTCACTTATTTAATTTCTAAAATTTATATTTTAAATTGTCTAAATCATAAGATTATCTTTGAATTGGGTATAACAAATCACAAGAATTTTATCTTTTAATTGGGTATAACAAATCACAAGAATTTCTTTTAATTATATTGTTATCCATCTATCTTATCTACGTATCTATATCTATCTATCTTTCCATCTTCTATGCTTCTATATCTATCTTTCTATCTTCTATATCCATCTATCTATCTAAAGGGAAGAATTGAGTTGGTGTTTATGTCTACCCTCCTACATCAGTTACATGAGCATTTATGCCCAAAATTCAAAAAAAAAAAAAAAAAAAAAAAAAATGATCATATACACACATATTGCGTGTGCCACCACTTCCAGTATGTGTTAAACATACAGATCGGCCATACATCTCTGAATTTTTGTTAATAAAAAATAAATACAGAATGACATACTTACCATCATCTGAAACTAAAACTTTAATATACAATTAATCATAAAAATACAGCAAAGCAGTATAGTTGGTACCATCCCTCAAGATCAGTTCGAGAAAAAAAAAAAAAAGGGACCACTAAGCAGAACAAAGATCACTACAGTACATATCAAAAAGATTAAAATGGACCCAATAAGATCATATTATCCTTGCAACAGAAAATCATGAACTTGCAAGACCTAATCAGTAAAAAGAAACAAATCCATCAAGCCCGCGAACCAAAACCGCAAATCCAAGACAAGCTGCCTAAAAAAAAATAAAAAAATAAAAGAAATGTTAATAGGGATCACGAAGTAAACATTTCCTCAAAGAAATATTTTCAAAAAAAAATTTCAATTAGAATCGGAAATATGGGAGTTCGAACATAACTGATGAGATAACTGACTGATTTACAAACTTGAAGACTTGAAACACCTAATTCAGCTATTTCATGGACAATCTCTATTCAAAATTCTTGATTTTTTCTCTTGCAAGGTTATAAAGCCTAGAATGCAGACCTAACAGAAGCCATTTCATTTGTTGCCTTGTAGGGATCAGTATTTCAAATGGTGTCTCTATGAATCTGAGAATTTATGGTGTTGTGGTTGAGTAACAACCTCTTGCACAAAGAAAATTGAAAAAATAACATGACGAAGAAGGATGCCGGGGTTCAAGCTACACAGTCCATTCCTTTAATCCAAATCTCAGTTGTTAATAGGGACTTTTTAACTAATATCACAAAGTACAAAAGCATTTGATCAATTGAAGTTATTAGTTTCAATAGCAGCTCAAGAATAGAATATTTATCCATCATAACAACTCCATTTAGTAACAATGGTTGGATCATAAAAGAAACATTTAGTAAGTATCTAAAATAAAAAAAGAAAATTCAGACCACTCGTTTGATGACTCTGTACACTCTAAGACAGAGTTTGGTTCACTAAAATGAAGGTAGAATGGAATGGAATGGAATCGAATAATCATTACTTAGCATCCCATTGGAATGACCATTCCCTTACAATGTTGAATGATGATTCTATTTGAATGAATTTTCTATCAATTTTTTGCACTAATTGAAAGCTAATAAACTCACTGCAATATTGAATTTGCACTTTCACAATGTGTAAATGTGCAAATGGTAGTCTAAATAATATTTTTCTTATTTTCATAATTAGTACACATACCTCCAGAAGAAGTGCCAACTGAAAACTTAATGAATGATACCTCAAACAAGTTCAATTTGACAAGATTTTGAACACCTTGGTAACCTGACAAGGTGCCTAAGAAACTCAGCCTCTTCCTTTATGCTTAACATTCCATATCCAATTGTCATCTTTTCTAAGACACTTGCATTTTCCAAGAAATACTTTATCAGATTGAGCTCATCTTGCAACCCATCAATGCCAGAGACTTTAATTTCTTTGAGGGTAGACCTCAAACAACTGGGCACCCCTTGTGGTTCAAGCCAGTAGAATTGCTCCAAAGGTTCAAAACTATCAAGTGGTACCTAAAAACCAAGAAAAAGAAAAGGTAAGAACTTGCAAATCACCGGTTTGGAATTGCAATTTTATTTATATATTATTTTTAACTCACCTTCGTAAATACCATAGTGCACAAATTAGGCACACCATTGAGTAAGTCGGGCAAACTCTTGCAGCCAACATCATCAAATTCCAAATGGGTCAAATTAGGAAACACAGGCCAATTTTTGTCATTAGCAATGCCGAGAACCTTCGTCGGAGATGATAAAAATAGTCAAATATACAAATCTGAAATTATTCTTGATGAAGTTCAAAAAATGATAACATATGACAATCTACATCTTCACTTCTTAAAGTAAATGCTCAAAAGGAAGAATGAACTCACTGCCATTGTGCTAGACTTCAGATGTAGATGCTTAACATTAGCAATTGCTTCCAAAAGCACAAATGCTCGGTTCAGATGTGGCATGGCTCCAAGAGCATGTGGATGGGAGGCATCAACACAAACACTTGCTTTAACTAATAAAGATAAGCTGTTCAGACAATATTGAACAAAGCAATCATCTTCAATGCAAAGGTAGTCAAGAATTGGTGCATTGACAATAACCACAACCTCAGAGTCTCCATATTCCTTTACACATAAAGACAAGTACAAAGTTTCAGAGCTGATGAAGAAATGTTATATACTGTTTTTCCAGGACCCATGACCGCTATAATGGATAATTCTTCGAGCATGGGGCAGGAAGAAAAGAGCTTTTGGGTCAAGTCATTACTAGGAGAAATAAGTGAAACATGAAAGATCCTGAGACAAGGGAAAGAAATTGAGGTAGGAACATCAAAATGAAGTTGAGATCCAAGCTTCAAGACTACAAGCGTATTGCAAGTAAAGAGGTTTCTAGGCAACTTAAGATCCAAGCCTTCGCAAACGTTGATATCAATTTCATGGACACTACGCTTTATAACAACACCTATCCATGTGTTCAAATGAGATGTATCAATTTCTGGATTACATCCTAGAGAGAATCGTTGAATACTTGACAAATCATGCAAAAGAAGTACTCTGTCAATGAAATTCATTAAGCTACCATTGTCATTGTGCTTACGGAACGGAATATACGAAGGTGACAGTATTGGACCATTGAATTCCAAAATGGGGACAGAAGCCCATATGTGTTTCCACCTTGATGATAGAATGCTGGTCCGAACTGCATATTTTGTTGGAAGGAAAGAGAGAATGTGGACAAGAACACAGTCTGGTAACCTGTTGATCCTATCTTCTCCATTCTCATTCGCTTCCTTCTTCAAACTTGGCTGGTTGTTCAAGCTAGAAGCCATGAATCTGCAATGCCTGAATAGATAAAGTGTGCCAAAAAATCATTCAAATAGTCAATGGTGGATGCATGAAGGCACCAGGAGTGGGACATAACCCACCTCAATATTTTATAATTACAACAATACCTATATAAAGTGGTTTTTGTTTAACCCTGAGAAATTATAATGCTGCCCACCCTAAATCATTTAAGACCCCTTCAAAAATAATTTTTTTAAAGGCCCTTCTTTTTTCTATCAATCACATAATAACTCTGAATACAGAAATGACTCTCTTTCTCTCTCTTCTCTATGTTCTCTCTATTTTATTCTCACTTCGCAAAATTAATTTTTCTCTTCTAGTACTTCTCATATAATTTTTCTTAAAAGCCTTTCTTATTGGGTAAATTACACATGCGGTCCATATAGGTTGCATATTAAACCAATTTGATCCTACAATTCCAATTGCATCATTTTTTCCTTTAATTTTTCGCATTATAACTCTCACTAATAAATTGAAGGAAAATTAAGTATTACGAAAAGAGTCCATTCAATCTTCTCAACTGTGTTACATGGACTCGCCACTTTGTCATCTTATTAACTATTTTAATATATATATATATATATATATATATTTAACGTATCCCCGTACCCGTATCTAAATTTGGATACATATCCACGTATCCTTAATTTTTAATTTTAAAGTGTCTGACCCCTAGATACGCACCCGCACCCGATCCTCATACCTGCGTCCGTGTAACTTAGCTTCTCAAAACTAACTGAGGGATTGATATATAATTTGCAATAGATGTGTCTGTGTGTGTAACAGAGAGATGACCACAATATATCCATAGGTTCTGTTTGGTTGTCGAGAAACACAAACAAGAAAAAAAAAATCTTGAGTTTTTAAAATTCTTGTTACCTAGTATGAGAAGCATATAAAAAAAAAATTAAAAAACTCAACCTTATTGAGTTGAGTATCCCATTTTTCTATTACCAAATACAAATCTCGGATTTCCAATTTTTATTTTGATTTCAATAGATTTCTCAGCAACCAAATGGAAGGTTATTGTTTCTCTCGATTTCCTAGCTCTTCTTGTAATACCCCACCCCAAAGTGTAATTTGTTGTGCAATTATGGTGGACTAATAATGTATCATTATGGTATAAAATCGTGGTATTAATGGTAGAGTAAAATCTCAATTAAGCAGTGTAACTTATAATGGTTATGTTAAATTAAAGTTGTGGATCAATGATCATATTAATGTATGAATTAATGTAAAGGAATATTAACCAATGATCATATTAAAATGTAAAGGAATATTAACCAATGATCATACTAATGTAAAGAAATATTAACCAGGGCCTTTCACCTAGTGGTTGTGTAGCACCACTTTGTCGTGTGAGGTTGCGGGTTCAAATTCTATGGAGAAGGGTTTCATACCTTTTTTCTTACCCCTTTCCCCTACTAACAACTAACAAGGGAACTCCTATTGATATATACCATGTGACAAAATAATAACAATAATAATGTAAAGGAATATTGTAGAGCATGTCATAGAAACAAACACGTAGTTCTTGTGAGAGAATATCTGTATATATATCATTATTGGTGGTGTGTCATGTGAAGTTGGGAGAATTGCTAGGCATTAAATTAGGCAGTGAGAAAAAAGGGGAAGTAAACAAATCAAATATGAAAAGAGAAACATGGGAGAAGTGAACGTGGACACTTTTGCGGATTTGTGAGAAGAATTAAGAGAATTAAGAAACAGAAGAATGGTTTGGGTCTATTACATGTGTAAAGATATTTAGCAATATTTTGAGAGAGAGAGAGAGAAAAAAGATTAGAAAAGGAAAATAAGAAAGTGAGAAAGTAAAAAGAAAATTTGAGGGAAGGAGAAGAAGTACCTGATCTACAATGCTTTGCTGAAGAGAGCTCCAAATTTGGAATAGACACCACTGAATAGAGATAGAGATAAAGAAAAAAATAGTAGCCCAAAAGGGAGATGATTGTCCAAATAATCAAACAACAAGATTATGTTCCATGGAGATGCAAAAAATTAAGAATATCTATTGGTTTTCGATCAATAATTTCATAAGTGATCTTCTACCACTTCCGGTATTTTATAATTGAATACTCATATTTAACATTATTGAAATGTAATTTTTTGTTACTCTCATGTTGTTTTATGAAATATGGATCAAGTACGAATGTAAACTGATTATGAGAATTGAAATTATTTTGTTATCCATCTATCTTTGTGCTATCAAAATATGATTTTATTGTCACTAAAAATTTATGTTATGTTTTGTTTTTGAAGCTAGGCTCAATTTGACTATAAATTCTTCTGGGGCTCTACCACCCGTCGATGTATGGTTTTGCGCCTCGTCACCGGCTAATGTGTATGTGGCCTTAGTAGGGCTGTTCAAATTACTGACCAGCTCGATCAAACTGGTCCGGGACAGTCGGCTTCATCACAAAATCGGTCGAATGAAGCGGAAGAGGGACCAAGTACACGGGCAAATAGAAATTTCTTAGGTTGGGAGCACCAATGGGAGCATGTATATATTTTACATATTAAATTATAAAATATATATCTATATTCTAAAAATTATTATTTTTCTACTTACTTGTAATATATTTGTTAAAATATGAATTTTTTTTGGAGATTGACATCAACTACACATTGTCTTTGCTTAAGTATAAATGAATATTATGGAAATAGAAAGTAATACAATAAATTTGCGTTGTTTTTCTTTTATTTCTTTAAGATTTGTATGCTTGGGAGGTTCTGTCTTAGTTTGAAGCGAGTTCTTCCTCGACAGGAGTGAGTTTCTTGCTTGGGAGGGCGGAATCACGTTTCTTAGTAAGAAACGTCACCAAATTAGGAGTTTCTGCTACTAAGGGTCAACTGCAGTTTTAAAGTGGCTAAAAAATTAATTGATTAGCCGACAATGGATCCAAAAAAAATTGAACTGCTTAAACCGAACCCACGGACTGTACATGTGGCTTCATTTTATTGGCCATTTCATATTTCACTTCATCCCATTATCACCTTATAGGGAACTTACACGAGGGTTTTTCCAATACAAAATCTAAAACAAATTTATTATGACTCTCTCTCTCTCTCGATCTCCCTCTTCAACAAAACCCCATTTCCCTCTTCTATCTCCCTCTCCAATAAATTCTGACAGTGCCGATGTTGTCAATTTAAGGTGGATTGATGGTGGCAGAGCAATAGCGATGTTGATGGTGATGGCAATGGAGTTGATCAATGGTGGCAGTGGCGCTAAACAATGGCAAGTCTCCCCTTTCTCTCAAAAATGTTATTCAAATTCCTTCCATGTTTGAATTTAATTTTTTCTCTTTTTCCCATAACCGGGAACCAGGCAAGGTCTTTCAGGCCCACCCCAAGACCGTAAACTCGAGGATCAAGCGACACGTCCTAATTGCATGTTCCTGGCAAAAGGGCAGGGACCGACAAGAATCTAACATGAGTTGGGCACGTGGGAAGCAAACCCACTGTCAACTAGGCTACCCCCTCGGGGGTTTCTTTCGTGTTTGAATTTGCTTACTGTTTTGTTTCAATCAGCATCTTTGAATCACTTTTTTATTTCATATCAGTAGCTACTGGGCGTGATCAATTTTCTAAACCCTATGCTGTGACAAGTACTTGAGTTTATGCAAATCGAATTTTTGGAACTATCGAATTATCGAACTGACAAGATGAAATATAGAATTTTTGAACATCCATGCATATTCATGAATGAAATTATATAAAAATATTACGTAGTTGATGATCCAACTAGATTTTCTAATACCTAACTGAATTTTCATTTTCTTTTCAACCAGATTGAAACAAAGTGGGAAAGTAAAGAGAAAATTTGAGGGAAGGAGAAGAAGTACCTGATCTACAATGCTTTGCTGGAGAGAGCTCCAAATTTGGAATAGACACCACTTGACATGGAGACCTTCTTCTTCGCTCTTCAGTTGCAGCTGCAGTAGAAAATGAGCGAATTTATAGGGTTTTAAAGCTTCTAGCACCTAGGTTGTGTTTGGTTGGTAGCCCCAAGTTGTGTTTGGTGGATAAATTTGATAAAATAAATGAAAAGGAAAAAGAAATATAATTTTTATTTTTATTTAATTATAATAAAAAATATAAGAAAAAATAAAGTGATACTTTAAAATTTTTAGATTCAATTAGGCTCTTTTTTCTCTATTTTTTAACTCAACTAAACATAATTTGAAATTTAAATTCAGTCAATTATATTTCTTTTTTTCTTTCTACTTCCCTATCTATTTCTATTTCTGTCATCAAATCTTTCGACCAAACACAGTTTTACTCGATTTTTAACATGTTCAAAAATAAATAAATACATAAAAAATATGAAAATACATTAAACTTCTTTTCTTTTTTTTGTATTTTGAAAAAGTTTTTACAGATTTCTTTGTAATTTTTTAAATTTTTAGATGCATCTACTCCATGATTATAAAAATTTGGTTAAAACATAAAAAATAAAAAATAAATAAAAAGAAAAAAAAAACCTTCTAAAAACACAAAAATTTAAAAATCAAGATTTATATGTAAAAACAGAGTGAAAATTTGTTGCGTGATGGAAAATAGTATTACTCCATAATTTGTATACAAAGTGATGTTTTAGTGGCAATTTTGCCGTTAAAAGCTAAGACATTTAGCTTAAAGTCTCATTTCCCAAATTTTTGTTCTAAATAGTTATAAATAAGATTTTTTAACCTCGTAAGTATACATATTCTCAAACCCATCCTTATAATTTTAAGAGAAAAGTTAGGGATCATGAAAAAACTATCATGAAAATGATCATGAAAGATTTATGACCCTTGGATTATCTTGATTAGTGTGTGATACTTTATTTTAAGTGTAATCCAATGGTCATAAATCTTTCATGATTATTTTCATGAAAGTTTTTTTATGATACCTAGCATTGCTCTAATTTTAATGTCTGGTCTGGATGAGTTGATGGTTTGGATTTTTACATAAAAAAGAGAAAAAAGAAAAACACAATGACATATTTGTTATTTTAAAAAATTATAAGGACATAGTTGTTTAAAAATTATAAAGTTTTTTTTACTTAAAAAGATTTATTTTATTTACACAGCCTCGACAATGGTGTGTAATTTGCACATTCGGATACTTTGTACAAAAAATGTGACGGTGCATTTTAATTATCAAATCACATAATATTAAATTGTTGTTTCTAAATGACAATTATGTGATTTGTATCAAATTTAAATTACATAGGTAAAATTAATTTTTATTTAAAAATTAAAAACGCAACTTATATTTTATCATTGGTCTATAGTAATATTAAGTAGTTGATCATAGGGGTTTTTTTTTTAGGGTCCCTGGTATTAAGATTTTATAGCATAAAGGACACCAAATATTTTCATAATGTCTAAAGTCCCTGAATTTGATCCAGAGAAATTTCATCCAAAGAATTTCTCTGGACTTCCCAGAGAAATTCTCATCCAAAGAAATTTCTCAGGACCTCTAAAAGAATTTCTCTCCAGAGAACAAAGTTCTCTGAGTTTGTTTTATTGAAATTTCACTAAGTTGTCTCAGTAAATTTCACTGAGTGTACCAAACAAACAAAGCAAACAAACAAACAAATAGTATAAATACATACATATGACTTCACCAATTTTACTCAATTAAAGGCAGAGAAAATTAAACAAACTGAGTTTAAACTAGAGAAATCCAGAGAATTTCTAACTTAGAGAAATTTTCTCAAAACCAGAGAAATTTCCCTTCACAACCCAGAGAAATTTATTCAAATAAGAGAAATTCCCCCTATCCAAATCACTCAACCTAGAGAAATTCACAACTCAGAAATTCCATTTTCTGTCACCATTCGAACCCAACCACTTAGCTTGCTTGATCTTTTCAAGCTGAACCTAAGTATCCTTGAATAGATGCATCATTTTAATCTCTAAATCTTTAGTGAATTGCATCATCTACTTCTTCAATTCAATCATCTGCCTCTGCTTCTCCAATTCCTCCTAAAATACAAATCATTCACCACTAGAGACAGTCGTTTCTAAGGAAACACCACCGGCTAGACCACCAGTCCCGACAACGGCTACTAGTCACCTTCGGAGACAATTCAGAAACCCTAAACCTCCCTTCAAGCACGCCTTATTTTTGCGGATTGATTTGATTACCTTCGGAGACGCGCTCTTCATGTCGCCTCGGACTTGGTAGCGATCTAAGTACACCGGCGCATGCATTGCCTCCATGACCTACTCGACAGCAATGGTGACCAGAAGTCCGATTCCGTCGCCGAAAATCAGAGTGATGGCTCTCGGAGCACCATCTCTCTGTCGGGACATGTACGTTACTGATCTTGATGGTGATCGAGTGCAGAGTTGTTTGAGGATGGATGTGAATCGATGAGCCATTCCTGTGGAGGACTTTGATTCAATTTTTGATTGGATTTCTTGGCAGAATTGGAGAGGTCTGGGAATATAGAAGTTTAGAGAGAGAGAGATGAGTTTTGATTTGGTAAGGTCAAATTTCTCTATGATATATTGGTGTGGAAGTTAAGGGACTTTAAACATTATAATATAATATTGTGGATCTCTTCCATTACTAAAAATGGAAAAGGGACCTTAAACTAATTTTTCCTTGATCATATATGCTGCAGCAGATCTTACTGTATAAGAAATTATTTTACAATAATACATTATTTACATATGAATGTTAGATTGTACTTTATCATTTGTTTTTGAATAAATTACTAGTTAGACCCTACGCAATTCGCATGTAGGGGTCATGCCGTCATTAGCTAAGAATAAAGTCATGTCGAATATGCTATCATTGGCTATGAATAATAAAGCGCAGCAAAAACACGACAAATTGTTATTAAATTCTATAAATTTGTTGTATGGATTGAAGCTACGAGCAAAATTAGTCAAATATTGAACCATTGAACGTGATTTACAAATTGTGATTCATTCATAAGTAAAAATAAAGCAAATACATTGGCCACCTTGACTATACAAACTGATATGCCAGTCATTTACACTGGAATGTGGGATTTTCAAGCATTTGAGCTTTATCGTAATGGAAACTGTTTCTCAATTCTTTGAGACACATTTACTAAATAAAATTGTAGGTGACGAAGGAATGTACATAATTAACTCGGTAAATATTAATTAAACAAACATAAATGGAGGATAAGACAGAAGCATCAACAACAAAAAGATTTATAGATTATTCCTAGTTTAGAATTTACAAATGAAAATCAACCCGAGCAGAGAAGTTGTTGACGACCAGTCTCTAGCCAACAAATCTGCATACAATAAACATAACTTGTAATCCATCAAGCATGGTTTTAAAAATTGGACCGGATCAACCAGTTCGACCGATTGAACCGTTAACCGATCAAAATTTCAATTCGGATATACCCTTTAAACCGTTCCAAGCCAAAAAAACCGACCTATTTAGAGAGAACCCATAAAGTTGGACCGCCGAACTGGGTGACCCAAAGATGGGTCAGGCAAACCAGGCAGGTTGATAAAACTATAAATTTTGAACTTTCTTTTGATATTTTCTAACTATTTCATTTATTCTTTCTTTCTTTCTTATTATATGTATATATATATATATACACACACATACATATAAGAAATTGTTAATTAAAAACTCTCTTTCAAAGGTCTCTTGTTTTGAAGAATAAACTTGAAATTATTGTGAAAATCTCTACTTATTTATAAGAAAAAAATTCTTTCAAAAAAACTTAAGAAAATTCATGTGAGATTCAATCAAATTTATTGGAGGGATAATTAAAATTTTGACATCCCTCCAAAATTTTTGCTCTTCTTTCAATCAAATTATATTAAAATCATATAAAGAATCAAAATTAAAATTAATAATATTTTAAAATATATTATTATATTTTTTAATAAAAAAATATTAGGAGAAATATTTAAGATAATTTAAAAATTTTATTTTTTTTTTAATTTATAATTTTATGACATATATTTTTATTTAAATATAATTTTAATATATTTATGACATTCGATTCTGATTTAACCCAACGGTTGAACTGATCACCTATCTATTCAATTCCTTTTTCGACTCACTCACCAATCTCCATTTTAAAACATTGCCACCAAGTATATAGAACTACAAACCTCTTTTCTTTTTTCTTTTTTTTTGGATCCACCTACCATACTGACTCTCCAATTATAGTCTCTAATTACATGTATACCAAATTTATTCAAATTATCACAAACAAAAAACTAATTTCACAAAAGATTTAAGAGCAAAGCCTGCTTCTTATTGTGAACCAAATTCCAAATCCTCCAACACATAATATTTTCCAATTTTGTGTTCCTTTCCTCTGAATTCTTAATAGTTAAAGCCTGCAAGTATACTGAATATATACGTAAAATTACCATTCATAATCAAATCAAAACATTTTTCAGATATTTTTTCACTAATTGAAATTGCTTTCAAGTTGAAAAACAATCAACCAAAAATCAAAACATCACATCAAAGTCACACTTTTCTCAAATATCACCGAAAATGAGGGGGAAAAATCACAAGTAAAAAATTGAAGCAGGAGATTGGAATGTTTGAGAGAGACACACTTGAACCCAAGAGCGATGAAGAAAATATCGGATATAAGGAAGACATAAAAAAAAAAAACCTTGCATATGAGACTTATTTAGCCATCAATTCTAGTGCACTCCCCCTGACATCAACTAAAGACCAGAAAATTTTAGATCTAAAAACTTACTGCAAATTGGGATCACTTGGGTTTCCAATTATGTATTCTTCCTTCTTTTACATCAACTGTGTGTTTCACATAATCTAAACATGTGGAGACTATGAAATAAACTATTGGCTTCCCTACTAGGAATGTTCGTATTAGCACCTCCGCATTAAATAATCATTGTTATCATCCTTACTCTGTCCTAAGCTAGCACCCAACTAACCATTCTAATTTACTATTTTACAGAAAAAGAATAGGAATAACACAATGATAATGACGATGAGGATGTTAGCAACTATGATCATGATGATTAATTATGGCTCTCACTACTTGCCCAAAAGGTAGGACAGTTCCTAAAAAATTAAAAATAAAATACTGCATGACACTAAATCTCCGTTGGCCTCTCTGTTTTATTCCCTAGATTGAATCTAATTCATCGATGTGACTGAATCTGTTTTGTTGTTTCAATCAAATATGATTCCCCTCCTGCAATTTAGAACCCTGTTAATAACCAAAATACTGGAAGCTAAACAAGTATCATGGATTGCATTAATGACTATTAAGGAAAGGCCCAAACAATGAATTGATACAGAGAAAGTAGTTCTTCACTTGGTTTAACTCAAATTAACGCAAAAGAGTAATCAGACTCATATGTACACCATAAACATCTCATAATTGAAAGGCAATGCTTTGCCCTCAACAAAATTTTAACCATTTGTATTGTCAAAGGAAGTGAATAATTTTATCTGTCCCCAATAATTTTAGGCACGAAGAGCTATTGCTCACCATCCTCATACACAATAATAAATGCAAGAACTAATTACAACAAGATGGTCATAAATGATCTTAGTGCACATGACAAAGAAAGTTAATTCTTGACAAACCTTGGAACTCCAGGTTTGGCACTCCCAGTGCATTGCTTCTTCACAACTGCCTCAGATCCCTCCCCAATACCTAAACTGATAGAATAGCAGCAATTAAAGAGCTTCCTTACAATAACCTAATAAGAACGGGGGAAGGAAAACTAAAACTTTAAATACTTAGATCAATAAAGTCACAAGACAAACAAGATAGCATAAAAAATATACTGGGTTCAAACACAACTTGTAGTTTGTTTAAACCAAGTAAATACCAACAATAGAAAGAAATCCAAAAAAGTTACAGACCAAGAAAGCAAAATTTGACCCATCCATCACAAATTAATTGTCCTAATTGAACCCTTGTAAGCTATACTGGTCAATTTTCTTTTTGATTTATCAATTGTTCAACTCACTGACTGAAAAGTTTCACAGTGGAATATTCATATTCAGTCTTCCATAGCAGCTATTTGCTGCATCATTTGAATTTTGAATGATGTGTTTGAGTGAAATACCAAAGGAGAGAGTTCTGGAGGTCATCTCACACAAATCCATCAACAAAAAGATACACATTAAAATATGGATATCCAATCAAAATAGAGTGTTTTTTAGGCCTATCAGTCAATTCCTCTTCTTTAGAACCACAAGTAAAACCTGTATCATCTCTAATATTTATTGTATTTGAAGGATGAATATACAATTGCCAGCAAGAAATCAATGAAGTTCAGATATACTCAACTCAACAAAGCCTTTTCACTTGAAAGAAGACATGACTATATCTTGTAGGTGAAAACATGTTTACTGAATAAAGCAGTTTAGAGAAATATCCATCAAGGGTTTCATGATTGACTTGATAATGGCTCGTTTGGTTTATTAGATTAATTGGACAGATTTAAGCAACTTCTTTGAATTCCCCTAAGCAAGTCAGCTTATTCATTCTTGATGTTTTATAGCAAAATTATTGCTCAACTTCAACGTCATCTCTTTTTGATAGTCTAGATAGTAAGGCAATGGTTGCCATTTACCAACTACCTTGGATTCTAACTGTAAATTCCTAGAGTTTGCAAGAAGTGCAGCTAAACGTTAGCAGTTTGATCTGAATTAAATTTGGTTTTTATTGTTTCAAATTGAATAATTCGGTCCCTACACTTTAAGTTTAGTTCAATTTGATTCTTTCGTTCAAGTTTAAGGTTAAAATTAACGATTTTAGGATATTTGTCAATCTCCTGAGTTGTATATAGAGAAAATTTTAATGGGAATTTAGATGGAAGGACCAAATTGAAACTAGTGTGGGCACCAAATTACGTAAATCAAAATAATAAGAATCTAAGTAAAACTTAAATAAAACTATAGGGATGAAAAGTGTAATTTATCCTATTTTAAATTTCTTTTGGCAGACCCACCAACAATGGTGCCACTGAGTATGGCTCCGTGACATCAGTGCAACCATTTGACATAAATACAAGAGATAAAACTCATTCAATCCCCTTTGGCTTTTCTCTATGTTTAGGTAGTGAAACCATTCACAATTGGATAGATGTGGTCATGTTTGTCAAACAGTTTTTCTTCCATACCAAACAAAAAGTGTTCTCTCTGATTGTGGATAAGAAATCTATATCATCAAGATACATAAATAGTTAAGGTAACAAACAAAGAAAGTACTTTCCATGAAATGCTTGAGAATACATACCTATTGTATTGTCCCATGACCAAACTTTCTGTAGGGTATGCTGGAAATAGACCCCAATTAGAATCAAAATTATTGTTTTGTTGAGCTTTGCAGGATCGCGAAAGATCATGAAATCATTGCCTACACTGATTCATCACATAATGACATCAAATCCGTATAACATGATTCAAAAGACTGCAGATATCGCTTGATTGAGAATGAGACTTATCATCCACAACAAATCTATGTACAATTCCATCAATTTCAATGAAACTCCAAGCAGGAAGTATATCTACTTTTTTATCTTTCATCATTTTCCTCAGCCTCACCACACCCTCCCAGCTGCCCATTGCAGCATACATATTTGCTAGAAGGACATACCGACCACTATGTCGAGGCTCTAGTTGGATCAAAAGCTTCCCTGCTTTCTTCCCCAACTCAACATGACCATGCATCAAACACCCATTAAGCAAAGACCCCCATATAGCTCCATCCGGTTCCATTGGCATGCTCTTTATCATAATCTCTGCCTCTCTGATTTGTCCCGCCCTGGCTAGAAGATCAACCATACAACCGTAGTGTTCAATCACTGGTGAGATACCATAAACTTTACTCATTCGCCCGAATAATCTCCATGATTTGTTCACAATAGTTAAGCAATTACAAGCAGTGAGAACTGCAACAAAAGTTATGGCGTTTGGTTTTGGCCCCCTTCTTTCCATCTCTGCGAAAAGCTGAAGCCCCATTTCATTGTTGCCATTGATGGCTAATCCCAAGATCATAGCACTCCAAGTTGTCACATCTTTGTAGGGAATTTTCTTGAAGATATTTTCTGCATCTTTTATGTTGCCACATTTTGCATAAAAATCTATTAGTGCAGTGCCCAACTGAAGCTCAAGCTCTGAGAAATTCTCATTTATATAAGCATGAACCCATTTACCTTCCTCAAACGCACCCACAGCCGCACAAGCATTAAGAACACCCACCAAAAGAGACCTATTAGGCCTCACATTAGCACAACTCTTCAACTTGCGAAACAACTCAATCGCCTCATTGAAACGCTCATTCCACACATACCCAGAAACCATTGCACTAAAAGAAATATCATTTCTTTCGGGCATCGAATCAAACACTTCACGAGCCTCATTGACAAGCCCATTACTACAATACCCACTAATAAGACTAGTCCAACAGACCACATTTCTGTTAGAACTTTCTTCAAACACTTGACAAGCAAAATTGGTTGCTCCAAATTTTGAGTACATATGTATAATAGAACTAATCACATAAACATCACAACCGTATCCAAACTTCATTATTTGACCATGAACTTGATACAGTGAATATATACAAGAACAAGCTTTGGTTAAAACAGGGAAAGTGTGATCATTTGGTTCAAAGCCTTGACATCGCATTTGGGCATAAACTTGAAGACCCTTTTTGGGATCTGAGCTTTTGGAGTAACCCATTATCATAGAATTGAAATCAAAGATAGTGGGTATAACAATTTGGTTAAAAACTGGCTCTGCGTAGTTCATGTTGTTGTGAGTTTCGGATAATGCACAGAAGGCTAAGATTTTGCTGGTGGTGTAGGTGAAACGAGCAAGGCCACTGGTGATTACATGGGCATGGATTTGTTTGAGTTCGTCCATGGTTGAGCATCTCTGTAAGAGACGAAGGTAGGGGAGATTCGAGATGGGTTTCAAGAGAATTCCACTCATGCGCATGGGAACTTTGAAATTTGAAGCTATAGTGAGAAGAGAGAGCTCGAGTACGGTGTTGGACTAAGAACTTCAAGCAAACGTCTACAGCTTTGAGACTGGTTTCTGTTTGGATTGGTTATGAGAATCTTTTTTTTTTTTTTAATTTAAAAATAACACTCCCATTATCAAATGCAAATATTTGTATGCTTAAAAACCTACTTCATCAAAGATTGTAACCTGAGAGAGGATAGCAATAAAAAAAATTAATCAATACATATATCATACTTTCATCTATTGTCCCATTATCATCCCTCAATTTTCTCAACAACCAAACAAGATTAGATAGGTAGGGTTCCATTTACACTTACCAAGTAACCATTGGCATATGGACAATCAGAGTGTCTTCCTTGCAAGCCTCATCTTCACTAATCCCATCAACCACTAAGTTTCACCTTTGTAATCAATTCTATATATGTCAGTACATCTATTTCTGAACTGCGCACCAAAATCTGAAGAAAATGCAAAATCAGAGCAAAAACACAGCAAAATCTGAAAGAAATGCTAATCAAATGAAGAACATAAGGGTGGAAATTGTGACCTTCCAAATGGAAAAATACCAAATCAGAGCAAAATGATGCACGTGGAAAATCATTGTTCAGTTGGCTCCAAGGTTGGCTTTAATACCTTTGCCGGATAAGTATAATATCATATATATGTTGCCATTGCATGTTAGAAAATTACAGGTTTCTTGATACTAAAGCCTCCAATGAAAGAAAGAATCAATCAATATATAAAAATAGGGAGCCTCCGTTGTTCGAGTTGTGTGTTGGGGAATTTTCAAATTAATTTACAAAATGTATAGTTTAATTTTTGAGTGTTTTATAAACCTTTTATGTTTTCTTTGGAAAGTATGAAATAAGCTCGGAGGCTTTGTCCCCCATTGGAAAGAGATATAAAGTGCTACATAGAATATTCTTTTAAATATGGAATTATGGGATGCAAGCTAGTGTGCACGCACCCACACCACAACGATGGTGCTTTGCACCTTCCGCACACGCGCGTGGCGTGGGCAGTGGGTTGTATGGCGTTTGATGGTGCACTTTGCACTTTGCAAGGTGCCATGAGGGCGCTTTCCTATTTGCATCGGATAGGTTGAAGCGATGGCGTGGCATGGGTGATGTGGAATGCAATCAGCTCCTCGTGGCAATGACGTGTCATCTGTTGGCGATGAGTCAACCAACCAATCAAACGGTTGTGTGTCCGATCTGGAGTCGGTTGATCATAGCCTTTGATTGGAGATGCGCGTGATCGTATGAATGAGATGGCACGCGATCGTGATCAGGTGTGATTAGTCAAGGCATCTATTCGGTGTCAGAATGATCTGCTCCATAGATCGTCGATCCAACGGTCAGATCTGATCGGATGCGATCAAGGGACATGACCATTCGATCAGATCTATCAAGGCCTATAAATAGGCTACGAAATCAGCCATTTAATTCCATCCAAAATCCTGAAAAGCATTCCTACAATTCTCTTTCTCTCTCCCTCTTGATTTTGAATTTTCGATCAAGAGTTTCTTAAGCAAATTTCTGTTTTTCTTATTCATAATCAAGTTCTACAGATTTGATTATCAGTGTCTTGGTTTCTTGATTATATCAAGAGTGTTCTGATCTATTGTTGTCAGTGCAGATACCGATAGACTAGATCTTTAAATCAGGTTTCATTGTATCCTGGAGGCAAATTTGTTGTAACCCCCTGCACACCTTTTGGTGGTTACAAATATTGTCTTTAAGAAAGCGACTTAGTAACGCGACTTAAAGCACTAATTTTCTATTCTATATAAACAAGATCATTGCCAAATTTTGAAGACCTGATGACCACCATTTGAAAAATTCAAGACCCTTTGTTCCAACAATCTAAAGAGAATATTTGGATATGGCTATGTCTATTCATAAAATGACAGATTTCATGAAGCTTAACCGTTTTGATGGAGGAAATTTCCGACGCTGACAAAAGAAGATGCACATTTTGCTCACCACTCTCAAAGTGGTCTATGTGCTAACTACCCTCTATCCAATGGAGCAAGAAGATGAAACTGTGGAGCAAACCCGTGCCAGAACCAAATAGGAGAATAACGACTACATTTGCCGAGGACACATGCTGAATGCGCTGTCAGACTCTCTATTCAATGTGTATCAACATCTGGAAACAACAAAGCAACTCTGGGACTTATTACAGTCAAAGTACCTCACCGAGGATGCCACCAGTAAGAAATTTCTTGTTAGTAATTTTATGCGTTTTACAATGATTGATACAAAGCCCATTATGAAACAATTCCATGAGATCTAACATATTCTGAGTCAATTTCGACAAAAGAATATGAATATGGATGAATCTATTGTAGTTTCATCTATAATAGAGAAACTGTCATCTTCTTGGAAAGATTTTAAGAAAACTCTGAAACACAAAAAGGAAGATCTTACTTTAGAGGAATTGGCTCAACACCTCCGAGTTGAGGAAGAATCAAGGTTACTTGAAAGTAAAGATAACCAATTGGCTCAGACATCCAAGATCCACATGGTGGATGATGGTAAGAGGTTCAATAAAAAGAAGCGTAACATGAACCCCAACCCAAGAAAAATGCTAAGAAGCCGAAAGGCGCTTGCTGGCACTGTGGCAAGCCAGGGCACTTCAGAAATGAATGTCGGTTATACAAGAAGAAGCTAGAAGCATCAAATGCCAAGAACAAGTTTGTGGTTGTTGTATCCGAGGTGAACATGCTCAAAGATGCTGGTGAGTGGTGGATTAACTCAGGAGCAACAAGGCACGCCTACAACGACAAGAGCCGTTTCACTACTTATGAATAAGTGAGTGATGGAACAGTTCTCTACATGGGCAACTCTTCAACTGCTGCTATCAAAGGCAAAGGGATAGTGGATCTAGAGTTTACATAAGGAAAAGTCCTAAGTCTTAATGATGTTTATCATTAACCTAATGTCAGGAAAAACCTTGTATCTGGAAGCCTGCTTAATAAGCATGGTTTCAAGTTAGTATTTGAGTCGGATAAATTTGTCATGTCTAAGGGTGGAATTTTTGTTGGGAAGGGCTACATGTATCAAGGAATGTTCAAACTTAACGTTATCAATAATACATTTGTTTCTGCTTATATTGTTGATTCTCTTTCTTTATGGCATGCTCGTTTAGGTCATGTTAATACTAGGAAAATGCATGATATGGTTAATTTAGATTTAATTCCTAAGCATGACATTGATATGTTTGAAAAATGTAAATATTGTGTGCAATCAAAAATTACCCGCATTCCATTTCCTAAAGTAGATAAAACCACATCTCTGCTTGAACTTGTGCATAGTGATGTATGTGACATGCATAAAGTGTGTAAACTCGTGAAGTCACTATATGGACTGAAACAAGCTCCAAAACAGTGGCACGAGAAATTTGACAAAGTAATAGTGTCAAATGGTTTTAGGATACATGAATCTGATAAGTATGTGTACAGTAAGTTTACTAGAAATAGAGGTGTAATCATATGTCTATATGTAGATAACATGCTTATGTTTGGTACTGACAATGATATCAAGGGGACTAGTGGCATCACAGAACAAGAAACCGAACTTGGGAACCTCTAGTACTTTGGTCTCTACTCGTAAATCAGCACCAACTTGTCTAGACTGTGGGAAGAGGCACCATGGGACTTGTTATCGGGGTAACTAGAGCTTGCTTCAAGTGCAGAAAGACGGGACATTTAGCAAGAGATTGCCCTCAGAGAGACCGACAAAATGGGAACAAAACTACTACAAGTTCAGTTGGCTCAACTCCAGCTCCAGCTACAAAGACTATTGCGAAACCTACCAATACCAGAGACAATGCTAGACAGGAAAAAGTATTTGCTCTCATTCTTGGTGATGTGCATAATACTGAGGCTGTGGTGTCAGGTACATTCCCTATCGATGGTCACTTCGCTCATGTATTGTTTGATTCGGGTTCTACCCATTCTTTTGTATTGGGAACCTTTGCTAGTAAATTGAATAGACCTAAAGATTTGTTGCATTATGTGTTATGTGTTTCTTCAACATCGGAGGGTTCTATATTGTGTACATCTATTTATCCTACTTGTGAGATCATCAATGGGGATGTTCAGTTATATGTCGATTTGTTGCCGCTTGACATGGCTTATTTTGATATAATTTTGGGGATGGATTGGCTAAGTAAATATCATGTGACTATTGAGTGTACATCTAAGCAAGTCATCTTTCAACCTCCAGGACAATCTGAATTTATGATTATGGGACATTGGGTGATTCCACCGTTGTACTTAATCTTTACCATGAAAACGTGTAAGCTATTACAAAAGGGTTGCCGGGGGTATTTATGTGGTATTTTGAATGGACAACCAGCAAATGTGTGTGTTGATAATATTCCAGTTGTCCATAAATTTCCAAATGTTTTTCTAGAGGAGTTGCCAAAAGAGTTAGTGGACCGTGAAATTGAATTTGTGATTGATATAGTATCGGGAACCCAACCAATTTCAAAAGCTCCTTATAGAATGTCACCGGCAGAAATGAAGGAGTTAAAGATACAGTTGTAAGACCTGCTTGATAAAGGTTTCATTCATCCGAGTATTTCTCCTTAGGGCACACCAGTTCTTTTTGTTAAGAAGAAGGATGAGGCACTTCGATTATGTGTTGATTACCGGGAGTTTAATAAAGTAACTGTAAAGAACAAGTATCTCTTGCCTAGGATCAATGATTTATTTGATCAACTTCAAGGGGCACAAGTCTTTCGAAAATAAATTTGCGCTCTGGATATCATCAGGTAAAGGTAAAAGTCGAAGACATTGAGAAGACTGTTTTTCGCACCCGATACGGGCATTATGAATTTCTAGTTATGCTGTTTGGGGTGACTAATGCACCAGCAGCCTTCATGGATTTGATGAGCCGTGTTTTTAAACCATACTTGAATGACTTTGTGGTTGTATTTATTGATGACATACTTATTTATTCAAAAAGTACGGAAGCTCATGAGAATCACTTACGACTAATTCTTCAAACCTTAAGAGAGAAGAAATTATATGCGAAATTAAAGAAGTGAGTTTTGGTTACAGGAAGTGGTTTTCTTGGGACATGTACTCAATAAGAAGGGTGTTTCTGTTGACCCACACAATATAGAAGCCATTGTGAATTGGCCAACTCTAACAAATGTGATAGAGATACGTAGTTTCTTGGGTTTAGCCAGATACTATCGAAGGTTTGTTCAAGGTTTTTCCAAGATTGCAGTGTCGCTTACCCAATTGACCCAAAAGGGTGTACCATTTGAGTGGACAGAACAAAGGGAAGTCGCTTTTCAAGAGTTGAAAATAAGGTTAACTACAGCACCAGTTCTTGCCCTACCATCCGATACCGAGGGGTTTGTTATCTATAGTGATGCTTCCCACAAGGGATTAGGTTGTGTACTCATGCAGAATGGACGGATCATTGCCTATGCTTCTCACCAACTCAAGTCACATGAAAAGAACTATCCCACACACGACTTGGAGCTAGCCGCCGTGGTGTTTGCTTTGACGATATGGTGGCATTATTTGTATGGTACCACATGTGAGGTTTATACCGACCATAAAAGCTTAAAGTACTTCTTTACCCAAAAGGAGTTGAATATGAGACAAAGACGGTGGTTAGAACTTATCAAGGATTATGATCCGCAAATTCATTACCACCCTGGCAAAGCTAATATAGTTGCAGATGCTCTTAGCCAAGAATGTATGGGGAATTTGGCAAGCTTGTTTACAAGGCAGAAAGAGTTGTCACGTGATTTGGAAAGACTGGATATGAAAATTGTGTTCCATGGTCAAGATAGAATAT